TTGCCCTTTACACTACTGCTTGGACCTAAATATGCAAAGTCCGTTCTTTGTGCGCGGGCTAAATTCCACGTTGTATTACCCACATGACAAGTTACTTTCAGTTTTGGGATTGGGTTTTTTTTTTTTTTTTAAATATCTCATATAATTTTCTGTCTTTAGGGGCTGTAAAACCGTATGTGTCTATTTCTTGGGACTGAAGTGATTTGCAAGTGCGATTACTTTCAGTGTCAAGTAAATAGGAAATTGTGAAATATGAGTAACTGAAAAACTACAAAAGCAAAGGGCACTGATTTGAAATCTCTTGGGTCAGAAGAAAAACTGTCATTTGTTTTCCCCCCTTAAGTTTTAATTCTGTTTTGAGCGCAAGAATCACCATAGTTCTTTGCATTCCTAACATATTACTACTGATAAAAATACACAGTTCCTTTTGAAAATGAATTGAGATAGCTGATATGTAAACCTGACAGAGGAACTGCAGGTCTGGGGCAAGCCTGTGTTGTGCTGCAAACGTGTGAAAGGGGGTAAAGTTCTAAGCATGTTTTTGGAAACTTTTCTCCTTTTCCTCCCCACCCCATTTGTCTGAATTCATTGTACTGGGCCGAGGCAGCTCTAACTTTATGTAAACACAAAAGCTCTGGGATCTCCTCTTCTTAACGTGGACATTTTACGTCCCTCCTCACTGTAGCCAAGCAGCCAATGCTCTCTGGGTTATCCTTTAAAGAGGGACAGAGATTGTACCTTTTCCTGCAGATGAGGACATGAAGCACAGGGGAAGGAAGGGCTACATCTGAAGAGCAGTGAGGTGAATCCGGAACCCAAGAGCACAGTTTTACAGGATGCAAGGTCTGGCTTACGACTCGGGTATTGCTGAACTACCTCCCCTTCCAGCCCCTTCCACTACCATGTTGCTTTCCTTGAGCTGGAGCCAAGTGCTCCTGTGAGTATGCTCAGCTGATTCAGCTCATGGATTGATCTGGAAATAAAGAAACTTTGACAGACAAGAAGAGGACACATTCTTACTGACTTTCACAACCATCACTGAAATGGAGCTTTTCCCGTCTATTTGAAAGCTTGGGTAGAAGTGAACATTTTAGCAAACCTAATTATATCCTTACAGCAGAGTAATGCTCCGTGACTAGTTTTGAATGTCACATATTCCAAGATGTTCTCTCAATAGTGGACACAACGCATCCAAGTCAAGGGGAATGCAAATTGTCGTGTTAGCATGATCACACTGCAAAATAAGCTTACCATAGACAGCTAATTTCTCACTATAATTCCCTTTAATAAATAAAGATTTTAAATATCAAGTACAGTATGAACATGTAGAACAAATAGAAAAAAATACTGTATTAGGAGCTTTTTTCTCCCCCTCAAACAGCTCCCTGTTGCACAGTCTTTCTATATCCTGCAGACTCTGCTGTGATTGTCCTTGCTCTGCAGGTGTGGAACAGAAACACAGATTGTGTCTGTGCTGTATTTCAGACACTGGACTGAATTCACACTGCTGTTCCACTTACTGCTTCTGGAGGCATGTCTAGATTTAGATGTGGGCTTGGTCAAGGTAGGAATAAAAAAACTTGTGGCCCACTCTAAGGTTTCATGCAGGTCTAACCACATCTTTACCGCGGTGGATGGTTAAAAAGCAACATGACCCACGCAGCTAGTCCTGCATATCTGATCACTAACCAATACAGAGAAGTTGGCCCTGTGTCTCTCCAGAAAGGACTTTGGCACCACCTGTGACCGTGACAATTTGATCTGCTTGGACACTCTAGAGCAAAAAAGATGAACAGAGCCAAGTCAGGCACAGTGCCAGGGTTTCAATTTTCTTTGCGGCTTGGCCAATAGCTACTGTACTGATAGCTGTGTGTAGTCGTGGCTGGAGGAACAGCTTGCTTGCGGTGACAGAGAGCGTCTGTGGAATTGAAACCACGTTGTCTGTGCCTCAGCTACTACCTTAAACATTTGAGAGCCACAGTTTTTTGCTAGAATCCAATGCATGAGTTGAAGATCTCTTGCAGCTACATTATTGTGAAATACCCCTTTGACAGGGTGCTCCTTTTTGGCAGCAGGGACCAAAGGCCCAGGGGTGATCTTCAGTTGTTATCCAGGGGTAGAGGTGAGGGATGGAGGCCCCAGGCAAGGCTGATTAGGTCTCTTAAGGCTCGTTGATGCTTTCAGGTCCTTGATGCTCTTGAGGCAGCGGGTTCACAACCTTAATATTTAATATCAGGAGAACGCCTGTGTCCTTGCACTGGAGTGTATCCCTCCAATCCCTCTGGGAGGTGTCAGGGCCAGACCTTATGAGGAAAATCTCTGTGAAGTTTCCCAAGGTCAATGGAGGTCGTGATCCCTGATGAGCATGTGGACGATTTCAAACACAAAGCTGTGGGCTCCTGTTCCCCCACCATTTTATTGTGCTAGTGAATGCTGTTCAAGGACAGTTATGGCCACAAAGGCCTCTCAGTTAAGCAGGTGGGGTGCTTCCTCAACAGGCTTTTCTTCCCCGAGGCACAGGTGGAGCTGCTGCAGCTCCAGGGCTGTGCAGCCAGCTGGAGCCTATTTTGTCTATGTATTTAACCTATGTACTAAATTAACCTTCAAAGAAAAAGGTTTGCACTACAAGTAACAGTCATTAGGAGATGGAATAGCTCAAGGTATGCTTCACACCTCTGGGTCACTAGATCAAAACAAGCTCACTCGAGGTCAGGTGTTATGGAAACCTGTCAAGAGGTTTTTGATGGGACCTGCCGGCTGAATGATGAACCAACAGTTGTGGGGACTAACGTACTGTCCATAGGATAGTTTCTTGAGATCAGGGCTGTAAAAGGACAGTGTCAAAGCAGAGGAAGAAAGCTTGTGCTGCTGTTCTCTTGACAGTGTGTGTTCTCCAGGTAGATGTGAGGTTTCATCCCCCCAGTTAAAAAAAGAGTTTTACCTTTCAGATGTACTAATTTCCCCTTAGAGTTGCTTTTGCTCGAGATTTTTTATGTATTCCTCTCAAAGGTGAATAGATTGCTGCTTTTTTGATACAGCTTTTATAGTATCCTAACCCAGTTGCCTTGTACAAGTGACAATCTGATCTTGCATGCAGTGAAGGCAATGGCATCTTCAGTTCTTGAACCCTGACAGGTTACTTTAAAATACTAATATGTTTATAACATCCAAAGACACTTTTCATTTGATAAAATTACTTGAACAACTGTTTCTTAAAGAGCAAATTACTTATAGTTAATGCAATTCACAGTAAGTGAAAGTATGTTTTTGTGGAAAACAGTAAATTATGGTTTTCTTGAGACAACAGCATTTTTGTTCTCTCCTGTAAGTGTGTGCTAAGGCATTTAGAGCTTAGTTACGGGTTATTCCTACTTGATTTGGTCATTCAGAAAATGTTGCATTCCTGAAAATAAACAATATTTTCCGATCATAATAAGTTATCTAAAGTTCTAAAGCCTCTTAAGGGGAATTACAGCTTAAAAATATGGGATAAAAATCACTCGTGCTGTTGCAAGATGAGTGCATGTCAAGTGAGGTGTGTTAGTCCTGTATGCCGGAAAGACTGTAAAATCACAAGCACTGGGGGGTGGGTAAGCGGCCGGCATAGAAGCTGAAGCCATTTCTTTACGTCGAGATTCAAGCACGGTATTAAATAATGAAAACAGTAATGAATACTCCTAGGTACTGTTATTATTATTATTACTCCCTTGTTGAATAAGGGTAGCTACGTTTTTTCCCATGTTTTGATGACTGCGTGCTGTGATTTCCCCCCCCCAACTCGAAATCCTCCACTGCAGGACTGTGCTGCCCTTGGGGGCACCGGGAATTCGGCAGTCTGGCCCCTGCTCTGTTCGCGGGCAGGCAGAAAGCAGGGAGGGGGCAGGCAGGACGGGGCGGGGCCCGGTGGAGGGGCGCCG